TTTAACACAAAAAAAAATTTCTTTTGATATAATTAATTTTAGTTATTAATTGATCCATTTTTGTAAATTTGTTTATAATTTGTACATGCTTATATGTAAAATTTAATTATTTTGGTGGTACAGCGTTAATATCCTAAGACTTAACTAAACGTTCACATAAAATTACAAAATATCTTCGTATATTTTGATAAACTTTTTATATCTAACAACAAAATGGTCAAACAAAATTATAAATATATTTTTCTACTATTATTAATTTAAATATTATCATATAAATAATCTTGATTTATATATTCTTACATAAATAATTTAAAAAAAGCCAAGTAAAAAAGCGTCTTATTAGTTAATAAATATAACAAACTTGAAAATATAATATAAAAAATTAATAAATATTTTTTATATACATTACAATATTCAGAAGTTATAACTATTAAAATCATGGTAATGTCAATATTCGCTTTAAAATTATATTTAAAGTTCATCTCACTAAATCCTTAAACATATCCTCCATGTCACCTATTTTAAAATATAAACTTAAATTTAAGATTGCTTTACATTTTTCGATAAGCTAAAAGCTAGAGTAAAAAATATAAATTCGTGTTTTAATACGAAACAAAAATCACATTTTCTAATAGTTAGCGTGCTAATTTAAATTATTTTTGTTTCTAGCCTAATAACAGCAACTACCCGTGGGTTCCACCTCACCTAACGCTATATGTTCAATACTCCAAGAAGGAGTTTCTTGTCTTCCAACACCACTAATCTTAACATTTTCACCCTCAACTGGTATGCCCACTGGTATAGCAGATAATTGAAAACTGCCATTGCCGTTAGTCATAGCCGCTGAACTATAACTGAAGGCAGTATTGTTATTCGTATATGCTGTGATAGAGTCGCATGAATCGAATTGACGTAAAGACCGACTTTTACCCTCTTTCATTAGTCGCACAAATCCTAAGGCTATCGTTTGAAAAACCTGTTCCAGACCTTGATCAACTTCAGCTGATGTTTCAAAATAACTTGCGCCAATCGATGAGGCAAATAGATAAGCTTCATCACGCGACACAGTACGCTGTGCATGCAAATCCAATTTATTACCAACCAATGCTAATATTATAGGATCCTGCACGTTCCGATGTAGCTCTTGTATCCAAATTTTGATTTCGGTAAAACTTTTATACTGTGTCAAGTCAAAGACTAGAATAGCTGCATTGGCATTGCGATAATACATCGGTGCAACAGCTTTGAATCGTTCCTGCCCAGCGGTATCCCATATCTAGAGAAATAATAGAAACGGTGAGTAAAAAACTTGATATTTATGTTATATGTATAAACATGTATAGAGTTATTAGGAAATATAAATTAAAAACTGGATACACTTTCAGACTACATTGATTAGTCTTGGTACTAGATAAACGCCAAGTAAATTTAGTACCTCGTTTATAGCAAGTTGGCAAAAAATCGAGTAGTAGAAATCATAAGACATTGCTTTATCTATAAAATACTAATTAAGCTCGTAATAGGGGCAAATTCAACAGCCCATATAAAAAAAATATACTTTCTTTCGTCTTTTTTGTGACTTTACAAATTCAACATATCACATATTTGGGTGTCATCTATAATGTCTAGGTTAAGACTCACATCCCATCTAGCTGTCTTAGTGCACTATAACCAACAGATTTAAATAGCCTATTATAGATATAGAAATATATCTATATAAACACATTAACACAACCTGTGAAGTATTGTTAAATGAAAGTCTGCTTAACTGAAATAAAGCAAAGAACAAAGAGTACGATTTTCAGAAGTTTCAAGAATATCCATATATTCTCGAAGTCCCGAAGCCAAGCGACGACCAAGTGCCGTTCAATGCATTTCAAAAGAACTTCACAACGGGTTACAACAACAAACATTTCCTGATTTGCAAGCGGTACGAAAGATAATATAAAAAATATTTTATTTGATTATTAAGACATTGGTCTTGATTGTCTAAATAACCTGCGCAATATTCAAGAGCGTAAGCGGCAATTAAAGCACTAAACTCGCATCAAGACTGATGCTAAGCTAAGCTAAATCTTTGGGTAACGGGACACACTGGCGTACGCGGAAACGAACACGCAGACAAACTTACCAGGAAATTAGCACCCACACTGATGATGGGGCTGAAACCTTTCTGTGGGTTAGAACATATTATGCTTCTTTCTTTCACAAATATAAAGAAGAACCAAAATAAAAAAGATTACTGGAATTAATATACCAGAATTATCACAATCCAAATCACTTATTGGTACCTATAACGATAAGAAATGCCAGGATTGTATGAACCTACTAAAAGAAAAACTTAAAATCATCACAAGAAGTATAGATCCTACTTCCTTCCTTTACCTACTACGCTAAACCCAGAAGGAGGCACAATAGACCCGACGGCCACATCCCTTAGAAATAATAATAATAGGAGATTTGCTTTTATCGATCTCATTAATATTACCTCCATAAAGATAAGTGTTATTGTATTCATGATGTGTAGAACAGTAAAAATATTTATGGATGATATTAAAAAAATACACTGCTTCAGTTTAGAAAGAAGTTTGCTCTTGTCAATCGACAATATTAAACGTCCATAATGGTAAATTCATAATACGAAGAAAATGATATTGGATACACAGCTGCAAGATTCCTGCAACAAGTGGGATATTTCGAATATATTGAGAACCTTGCGTTGTAAATATGATATTGAAAAAGACACTGAATCGGTTTTGGAAATAGTTTGCTTTTTTCAATAATCGTCTTCATTATCAGTATCTCAATAACGATAAATATGGATATATTCTTGATAGACGAAGAAAAGGATGTATGAATACTCAGGTCTCTACTTATAAACAGAAGATTCGATTGTGATACATGAATAGATGCGCTAGAAGTCTCCTGCTAGTTACCAGATAGTTTTTTAAATATATGCTGTATTATTACTTACAATAACAACTTACATATTCTGAGATTAGTTTAAGTAAAATGTTTTGGAATAAAAATAACTATTAACAAAAAAATAAATATATGTTTAAATAATCTCACACAGATGTATTAGACAATTACAGATATATGAAGATACTCATTTTGCTTGTGAATATGTAAAGTGTTTAAAAAGTTAAATAATCGTCATTATAATTAATCAGCAACGAGTAAAAGAGGTTTTTATGACCTATGAAACTTCAATCTAATATATTTTCATTTTTTCTAGTATTTTTTTTAATATTACCTGAAGCTGCGATAATATTTTTATAATGATAACGAAGGTATATTCATATTTATTAAAAGTTGAAATAGTTCTAAATGTGATTCATATTACCAACGATGCATTTTTTTGCAATTTATATAAATATTATTTTTTATTTAAATTGTGTTCTGTAAAGTTCTGTTAGAATATAAATAAGACACTCATGAGTAATTGTCCCAAGCACTGAGTAAAACATTTAAAAAAACTAAAAACTATCTGATCACATGAAATGATGACTTCTCCAAGTTTCCAAGAATTTTTGTAATTTTAATTATAAACATAACAACTGCATTGTATATCAATTCTCGTTTTTCCCTTAGCTTGCATAAAAGACTAACAATAATATGCAGTTGAACGAATTGAAAAGACCCTTAACAAATGCTTTATTAAAATTAATTTCATGTCTTTCGACTTCACTATACTTTCATTGTTAATTAATTTAATTTTAAATCATTTGTTGCAATTTTTAACGAAGCATGGAGTATAATTTTTCGCTGTATTTTTATTGAGAAAAACTCAATGAATAAATGCTTTTGCCAATGCACATTTTATAATCAACACAAAAATATTACTGATAATTTTTTCTTGTACAAAGACCTATTGAGTATTACAATTCTAATTATTTGACGGACTCGTGAAATGCATTAGATAAGATTGAATACAATAATATGTGTGCTACTTCAAATGGGACACAGAAACTTTTTTCAACTCATACATGACTTGATCAATGAAATGTCAGATAATTCGAAATAAGCAGAAGTCTAAAAGTATTTGCAACCTAATCGTTCACTGAACCTAAAAATAAAGTATAATTTATGCATAAATAATTATATGAAATATTTATATACACAAACTTACTTGGAGCTTCACTTTCACATTATCCATTACTACTTTGCATGTAAAAAATGTGGCAGATATAGTTGGGCCTATGTCTTTCAAAAGTTGTCTTTTTAGATACTTCGTCACCAGATGGGTTTTACCAACACCT